GGGGGGGGGGGGGGTTGGTTGGTTGGTGAAGTACAGGCTTTATCATTGCAAGTTAGGTTTAATTCTATTTCTGTACTATTATAGACCTTAGAAGAAAGCTTTGTTCCTTGTTGACGTGCAAGGTTAAAATTAAAAAAAAAAAACGCAAAAAAAAAAAAAACCTTATTGATGTAGATCTAAGATCCTCACGTCCTAAGATGCAATATTCACAACAAAATAACAAAAACAAAAAAACAAACAAACAAAAATATATATAAATATATAAAACAATAAATGCGATATTCTCGATTCTGTATTCAAATAATTCTGGCTTAATAGATGGAGTTACGGTTGTGTGGAGTTAGGGTTGTGTGGAGTTAGGGTTGTGTGGAATTACGGTTGTGTGGAGTTACGGTTGTGTGGAGTTAGGGTTGTGTGGAGTTACGGTTGTGTGGAGTTAGGGTTGTGTGGAGTTGGGGAGAGGTGGAGTTAGGGTAGGATGGAGTTAGGGTAAGATGGAGTTAGGGTAGGATGGAGCTAGGGTAGGATTGAGTTAGGGTGGGGGCAAGTTTGGGTGGAGTTAGGGTGGAGTGGAGTTAGGGTAAGATGGAGTTAGGGTGGAGCTAGGTTGGGGTGGAATTAGGGTGGGGTGACGTTAGGGTGGGGGGGGGGTTAAGTTGGGTGGTGGAATTAGGGTGTGGTTGAGGGATGGATTTAGGGTGGGTAGAGTTAGGTTGATGTGGAGTGTCGGTATCATTAATATATATATATATATATTGTTTCATAACAACGGATGTAAATGTGCAAGCCGTGTTGTTTTATGTTACATCTACTTCCCGCTTCATAGAAATGCTATAACCGGAACTAAAGCTATTTTTAGCACTGTTTGCTGAATGAACCTGTGATAGTACTGGAATTTCTTCTTTTTTTTTAAAAAAAAAATCGGTCTTTAAAAAAAAAGAAAAAAGAATAAGAAAAATATTATTTAAAATGTGTGTTAAGTGTTGACATACATGACACATAGGCGTCAACAGCATAGGCCATGGGGGCTCAGGTGCCCCCCTCCCACCCTGAATGATTCTAAAATAATTAAAAACTAGACTAGTATTAAAAAAGAAAAATCGAAAAAAAAACACCAAAAAAAACCCAGTGAACTTTATAAATTAAGACTTGAGGACCGTCCATAAAGTACGTCACGCTATGCTGTCATTGGAGAAGATACTTTAAAAAAAAAATAATGTTTACGAATATGTATACTTGAATTAATAAATACACGTAATTTGTATTGTAAAAAGCCGTAAGTTAGTTCAAGTAAAACTCACGGTTGACTTCTAGTTCAAGTATCAGACCCACGGGGGCCTTCGGCATTATTGATAGTCATGGTAGCAATTTCCGACAATTTAAAAAAAAAAAAAAAAAACTTTGCCGCCCCGCCCCCCCCCTAAGCTGGGAAACAACTGTTGGGAGCTAAGCTGGGAAACAACTGTTGGGAGCTAAGCTGACAAACAACTGTTGGGAGCTAAGCTGGGAAAAAACTGTTGGGAGCTAAGCTGGCAAACAACTGCTGGGAGCTAAGCTGTGAAACAACTGTTGGGAGCTAAGCTGGGAAACAACTGTTGGGAGCTAAGCTGGGAAAAAACTGTTGGGAGCTAAGCTGGGAAACAACTATTGGGAGCTAAGCTGGGAAAAAACTGTTGGGAGCTAAGCTGGCAAACAACAGCTGGGAGCTAAGCTGTGAAACAACTGTTGGGAGCTAAGCTGGGAAACAACTGTTGGGAGCTAAGCTGGGAAAAAACTGTTGGGAGCTAAGCTGGCAAACAACTGCTGGGAGCTAAGCTGGGGAAACAACTGGGATTTGTACATTCCACGCGCTGTTAAAGTGTGGGGTGACAACACGTCCTCAACAAGTAGAATGACCCGGATTGTGCTTGACCTCACTATCCAAGGTCTTCGCTAGACTTTTCAAGAAAAACGAACGTTGCCGACATGACCTTCCGTACACGTTGGATAACAAGTGGTGGAGTGGGCAAGGAGTGAGTACACAATAGGTCAAGGACGGACACAAACAGGATTATTTTTTAGAGCACGTGTGTGTGTGGGGGGGGGGGGGGGTGGG